AGCGTACCCCTCGGATACAAACCATCAACAGCTACTCAGCAAGTTTCCTTACCTTGTCTTTAAACGTCTTTCTCTTGCTACAAAACGCGTCTCTTAAACAAAATACGCGTGTCGGTAGTGAGTCTTCTTCACAGTTGGCCAGCTTCCTCAGATTTTGGCGTCGTCGGTTTGAGTAAATAACTTGGTTGTTATTAGGTTCTTCACTGTGTCATAATAAAAGACTAAAAAACGTAAAGACGGTGGTAACGCGCCTTGCAAAAGTAAATGAAAAAAAAAAAAAAAAGTTTTTTGAAGAGAAGTGTATCGGAAAAAATTTTTTGTTACGCCTTTTTATGTAATATGGGTACACGTCACGCAATCACCTGCTCAACCAACCAATACTGCAATACTGCAATACAGATGCCACAAAAAAAAAAAAAAAGACTCAGCCCCAATCAGTCATGGCTGGTGTGTGTCATAATACTAAAATTAAGCCGCAATAAAAAACATGCCACGAAAATAAACAGCGTACAAGCAGTTTGCACATAAGAGAGGTTATGCCAGTACAATTTACCAATTTCTCATAGTCTATGCGTAAACTGTGAACGCTTATTCGTAAACGTCCTGTTGTCTAGTTTTATAGTGAGAGGATATAATAAACGTGGCTCCTATCAGTACGACATAGTAATAGTCTAATTTTGCTCGAAAAATAACTGTTAAATTAGAGTCAATCAAAGAATTTATTGAATTAGTTTTACAAATGTATAGTAAAAATATAGTTTTATGTGGTAGTTATTGTCTAGCTATAACTTTCGCAAACGGCTATTACGCTTGCATTAATGGTACATAAACGCAATACCCAATATCCCATTAATTCTAGACAGTCACGTATTGGTTAGCCTGCTGCATAACAGTACGATGTGTAGCGAGATACCCAGCAGTGTATTATTCCATTTTGGACACAAAATGATACTTGAACTCTTTGTCAAAATCTCGATTGATTGTTCTTTCTATCAAAGAATTATTTGAGAACATCACTCTGGCTCCCTGTAGACGATGCAAGTAAGTTGAAACGAGTGTAGATAATGAAGTGTGACCATTGAGATTTCATCAGTAATGCCCGTTTTCAAAAAAACTTCAATGATGACAATGCAAGAGTTTAAGATGTAATCGTTTAGCGAAACCAATGAAGATAATTATTTGAGCAATGTTGATTTATTCGTTCAATTTCTTCCATTTGACCTTCAAACATCAGTATGTGATATTAATATATAACGCCAACAACGTGTATTATCGTTACACGGAACCCAATCACGACCAAAACCGAGAAATAATTTGTATTTAGAGAGGTTTGCACTTATGGAAGTTTTATTGTATTAATCGCATGAAAAGTTCTGTCAAAATGTAAAGCTCAAAAAAAAAAGTGTACAGTTAAATTAATATCATTTACGGTTAACTAGTCAGAACAAATCCTTCACTTGATATTATCAGTAACCCACTTCCTAGCATCTTGCAACATCTTCTCAAGAACACTAGAATCATACCCGCTCGACTCATTTAATGCAGTCTGAGCTTTTTCATAACACAATTCCCACTCTTCCTTGAAATCCTTCATTACAATGTCAAAATAAGCCAAAGCAATACAGGTAGACCAGACAGAATCTTGATCCTTGTTTTGAAATAAATTCTTATCCTTTCCCCTTGAAAAAAAGCTCGACAACTTTGCAGTTGGTTTGAAAAACCCATCAAAAGATTGAAAACTAATAAACTTGTAAAGAATTTCAATTTCGACCAATTTCGGGTCAAAATCAACTGGTCTAGTACCAGCGGTCTTCTTTGCACAACTAATGCTACGTACTTCTCTCATTAGACGTACTTCTCTAACTAGTTCCCGGCGAGACACACTACCACGATCTTGGCTAGACACACTCCCACGACCTTGGTCAGACAAGCTTCTACGAGCCGGTGGGACATACCTACTACGAGGAGGAGGAGGCGTAGGGCGTGTAGCTTTCGCAGCCTGCAAGAATTTTGTGTTAATAGGTGCTGTCATGTTTATCGAAAAAGAATATGAAAACAAGTTTCCCTCTTCTTTTCAAGTTTTAATTTAACAACCTTGTACTTGATTTTAACGCCCATCTGCGCGCTTGTCTGCACAGGGACAATGCGCTTTTGAATTTCAACTGTCGATAAGATTTTGTCTCTTTCATCGATCGCCAGGAAACTTTAATAAATAATTGAGATGATTAGAATTGCGCTACACATCATTCTTGGTTACCATCCAGCAAGTTTTACCTTGTATATCTTGAGGCTAAATTAGCATCAATCGCAAGCTGAATGGTTGCGTTCTTTGTATCTTCAGCTGATATTTCTTTTCCCTCATTTTTCGGATCGTTATGCAGGTAACTTTTCTTATCC